CAGACGGTTTCCGGAAAGAGTTTTGCCTCAAATGCGTTCGACAAGAAGTTGTGGTAGATTTTTTAAACTCGGTCATTAGAGTCTGCAAGGTTGGTCTGGTTAGAGTTGGCATGGCTTATTACAAATGCCCGGTTTTAGGAATTTACCGAATCATCTCGTGAGACAGTAACTAGCTACCCTCCGTCATTGATACTGATATTAGCAGGTGTGATGCATCAATTGGAACGATCACACATTAGCTATTTGGTAATGACTATGTCATGTGATCAGTATAATTGATTGATTGATTTTAGGTTAGTTATGCCGATGAGAAATTCTCACCTTTTGAGAAAGGAAAGAACCCACCAACTCCAATTGATTCAATTGTTACCGAAGCTAAGACAACAGCTGAAGTAAGAACCTTCATGTGATCATCATGTGATGTCTTTCATTAATAATTTATTAAATATCACTTTTATCTTTCCTGTGCTTGTTTAGCTGCTCATCAATCACTACGTACGGATGCAGGGACAAGTGTTAGCCCAAGTAATGTGATGTGGTATACATCATTTATACGTATCTGCTTCTCTCCTTTCTCTCTTTCTCTTCAAGATGATACGTAAAAGTGTGGAGACGAGGGACTGGCTGAACACTATTGAGCCTCGTAATGTCCGCTCCGTCATGAGAAGAATGGTGGAAGAAGTGACAGTCATTGACAAACAGGTTGGACTACTTTTTGAAGAAGGATTTCGGAAAAGTGACGGATCAGGTATACACTCCATGCTACTGCAATTCCTCAATTATTATTATGATGATGTTTAGAAACAAGTCGAACCTTCACATACAGTGTCACTAAAGGTGGCAATGGAGGTTACCCCTACTCTTCAAGGTGAGTTGTAGTGACAGAAATTGGCACATGGTAACTTGGTGTTCTTGTTCCTGTAGCCACAGTGGGTTGGGTGACTCCAGTTTGCTTAGTAACATTCAAAAGTTGTTTTTCGAGAAGATTGAAGTCTTTGGAAATGTTGAATTTACCAAATTATCAATTGTGACTGGAGTCATAAAGATTGCATTGAAGGTAAGTGTCAGTTTTATCTCATATAAAAGTATTATCATTCTCCATGTATTTTTGGTCCCATTTTTCTCCCTACCATTGTACTACAGGCTCTTGTTGAGTGTGTACGTTTAAGAACATTCGGTAAATATGGTCTACAGCAAATGCAAGTTGACGCTCATTATCTTCAGATCTACTTATGGAGATATGTCAGTGATGAGCAGTGAGTTAACACCACGTCAATTATAGTATCTATAACTATGTTAAGAGTGTTAATATTGTGTTAGTATTGCGTTAGTGTTGTGTATTGGATAATATAACCATGAGATTAAGACTGCATTAATATTAGGTTAGTTCGTGTTCTACTTGATGAGGTCATTAGTAGTACAATCGGAAGGTGTAGAGATCCTGTTCTTATGGAGCAAAGTGTAAGCTTAATACAAATAATAATGACTTTAAATATTCAAATGATCTCTTTGCAGGTGGTTGAGTTAATTTGTGAAAACTCATAATGAGAAGGAACATTGTACGTGTTGATAGAACATGCTTTATATTCTTAATATTTTGCTGTTTATTGTTGTTGTTATTGCTTTCAATAGAAGACAATATTATTTATTGTTATTATTATTTTATGATGAGAAAGATCAACAGATGACAAGATAAAGAAGTAGGGATGAAGAGAAGGAGGAGAAAGAAGTGTCTGCTACCAATCAGCTGCAGATGAAGCAAGGTAATCCTTCCTGCCAATAGTACCAGCCTGCTTCTGTTGGAATGCCTCAAGTTTAGGACAGTCAGTGATCCTGTGACCCAAACCACCGCAATAAGCACAACCATGATCATCTACCAGAGAGAACGAGGGAGAGAGAGGGAAGAGAGGTGAAATATGCAAAAGTGGATTGGGAATATGTTAGTGTCACTACCTCCCAGGTCCACCAGGTCATCATTAAGAGAATCAATGGCAGTAAGGAATGGTGGCACTCTCTGCTTAGCTTCCATTAGTAATGCCTTTAAATCACGTAAGACCGACTCCTCTATACAATAGAGAGAGAGAGAGAGAGAGGGATTATGGAGTGTTTCAGAGGCCTTAACTCACCACAAGCCTTGTTTATGAAGGTAGTGGCTATTCCAGTCTTTCCACATCTGCCTGTCCTACCAATCCTATGCACTACAAGTTGCTACCATGAAACCACTAGTGTATTGATTGTGAATGAACTTACCGTAATTCTCTATATCATTGGGCATGTCGTAATTAATGATGTGTTGAATGTTATTGAAATCAAGTCCCTTAGAGGCAATGTCTGTAGCAACCAGCACGTCTTTCCTTAGCTCTTTAAACTCTCTCACCGCCCACTGTCTATCCTCTTGATCTGTGCGGTTTATAATAATTAAGAAATAATATCATTATACATAATAAAATTGATAAATAAAGTAGCAATACCTTTTCCTCCATGAATAGCAACTGCTTGAACACCTTTCAACAGCAAGTACTCATGTATGTCATCGACTTCTGATTTCTTCTCAGAAAATATCAACACCTAATGGGAATAGTAATAATTATACCAACAATTCAATTGAAATAATAATAATAATAATAATAATAATAATAATAATATTATAATTAATCTAGCCTTTAAATTTAAGCCCCTTTACAATCAACTAGCTATTCTATAATCATGACACTTACTGGTGGCGGAGTTTTCTGCAGACACTCCAACAAATAAAGAACTTTGGCCTCCTGTTTGACATACTCCACCTCTTGAATGACGTCCAGGTTAGCAGCACCTGCTCTGCCCACATTAATAGTAACTGTAAGGAGATCATGTGATCCTCATGTGATCAATACACGTACCTGGTTGGACCAGTGCACTCCTGGCAAAGTTTTGAATCTTCTTTGGCATCGTAGCACTGAACAGAAGGGTCTGCCTTTGACACTACAGAAATAAATTAAACTTTAATAAATTTCAACTTTTTCAACTGCAGATGCATGTAGAAGTAAAGCTAGAACTGTATTCTGTTGGAAAGGGACTGAAAGAATGATAGACTAAGTATTTAATACTTTTATCAAATCTGCATGAACAAACCAAAGTGAATAAATTTTTAATAAATTATTGCAGACTTGGTACCTTGAAATATGAAAATATTGTCCGAATGTCTTCCTCAAATCCTAAATCAATCATCCTGTCTGCTTCATCCAGTGACAGATACCTAAAGGAGAATAGCGGAGGTTAGGGTTCTCTAAAAAACCTTACACACAAACCTGCACACATCAAGATTCATTATCTTTTTATCAAGAAGATCCATCAGTCGTCCTGGGGTAGCAACAACAATATGGACCCCTCTGATAGCAGGAGAGGAGAGAAGAGAAATGGAGAGACAAGTAAAGAAATGGACGCTACCTTTTGAGTCTGTCGATCTGGTCCTTCATAGGGACTCCCCCTATGCAGA